AGGTCCTTGCCTGGTCAGAATGAACTTACTCCTTGTGTGTTAATAGGCGACGAAGCATTTCCTCTACGCCCAAATATAATGCGCCCCTTTCCATACAGACAATCAAGAGAGGACTACAGAAAGGAGATCTACAATAAGCGACTATGTCGAGCTCGACGTGTTGTAGAAAATGCGTTCGGAATTTTAGCTCAAAAGTGGAGGATATTTCTTAGGCCAATTCAGGTGAAAGTGGAAACTACAATATCTATTGTAAAGGCCGCATGCATTCTACATAATTATTTGCGTTCAACAAACTCTGTTATGAGGTTCGAGCACTTACTAGAACCTCAAGAAGCAGTAGCAGAGGCTCTTGGAAACCTACAACTAGAAGGAAGAAGGACAACTAATTTATCTGCTCAGATACGTGAGAGATTTGTTGCGTATTTCAATATGTAAAAAGCTGTACTTTTACTCCGCCTACTGTAGTCTTTCTTGATTAACATAAAAAAAACTGATTTACAAGGGCAGTATTTGTATATTAAACATTGTTGTCTGTTGTCATAACATAAATATGAAGAAATATATTACAGTGTTTAACGTGTGTAATTGTTCCGATGAAATGATTTTGTATACAACTATGCATAATAGATTAAATAGTAAATAATTGATGAAAGTAAATGGAAAATGTGTGAACTTACCGCTTGTTCCTAGCGATCTGGCCATTTGTTCCCAGACTTCATCTTTCTTTTTTATATTTTTATAATCAGGATGCGACAAATCAAATAATATATTATGTAATTTTACTTCTTCAATAAATTGCTCTGTTGTACTCATTGTTCAAGCTAACGCACAGTCACGGCGGCTGCGGTCAAACTCGACACGCTGCATCTGATCGCCACCGCGGAGTAGAACGCTGCACTGTCCGGAACGCTGCCCGCAAGATCGCTGCCTGTCTGAAAGGGTCTATAAGTTCAGCAGGAAATATCTGACCGCCACCGCGCCCGCCACCGCCACCGCGATCGCTCTGGTGTGTGGAAGCGTGACTCGCATTCGGGGGGTACCGGCTTGGAATTCCAGTCCGGACCGGCTACTCTGCATGTGTTTTTTTCGTTATCCTTGATACTAGCTAGAATATGAAGGGGCAGAGAACATGAAATAGGCCACGACCACATAGGCCTGCAGTTTCTGAATCGATGTTCCATAGTTGTGTCTTCTGATTCGTGTTCTGGAGATCTCGAATTCGATTCCCAGCGCAGAACATGGCTTACCTGACTGAGGTCGCAGTTTGCGCTTCAGGGTTGTCAGAATGGGGGGGGGGATCCTGCATTATTTCATAAGTCGAATAGAATTAGAGGGACATGCATGGATCTGACTTCGAACTTCTTTTGGCAAATGGAGGACACTAGTCTGTGTCGGTCAGTGATCTCTAAAGTGTACTTCCGAGTGATATATACAATAAAATTATTCATATATCCATACCCCGTCTATAGTCACGCACACCTAAGGACGTTTTAGGCTGAAGTTTTGAATCGAACACTTATTTGGGCAGTCCTGATAGTACCAAAATAGGAAATATATGTCTTCTCGTTATGCAAATGTATTAATCTCATTGCTCTGTTTCCTAGGGCTTCAAACCTTTTCACTGCCTACAGTACCGCTCCTCCGGGAGTGTGGTAACCATGGTAACCACAGTGTGGCAGATGTCCTCCCTTTCACCTGAAGCTAAGAAACTTTGTCAACCTTTACGTATTTATTAATTTATTTTTTTATACATTTCAGCCCACCAGCCACCACTGCGACACCACTCTGGCCATTTTCGACATAAAATGGCGCTGTTGTGGGACCCTCACCCTCAGTACGAGTTCTCTGCCTTTGGTCGGGACTTCCATTTGCTCTTGGCACATGACTCTAGTTTCGTGCATCCAGACCTGCAGGTGAGTGAGTCCTGTCTCCGTGACGTAAACATGCGAGGGACAGTTGAAGTCAGGACAGATATGCTAACCGAGGGCCCCAACTGCTGGGTAGGTCAGACATTTTCACTTACTGGGCCGGTACTGTAACTCCCACACTAGGGTCTTCCCCAGGATTTTTATAAACATAGGTATTTGTTTCTGGGGTACGCGGTATCGTAGTTGCTTGAGGCAATATGCTACAAGGCGGAAGGACGCAGGTTCGATTCCCGATGAGCTGGTTGGGTTTTCCAATTGACCGAATCCTTCCAGCCGCACTATGGCCCTAGGGTCGACTCAGCCTCTAACAGAAATGAGTACCAGGAATCTTCCTGGGGGTAAAGGGCGGTTGACGCGTAAGGCTGCTCACCGCCATCTGTAAGCCGATTGTCTAGATAATGTAGGAGCCTCGACGTCTCACAACCGTATGGGCCTCCACGGCTTGTTACAGGGATAGCTTCATCTTCAGAATGATTCAGTTTTAATGGCTAAAATATTCACATAACATTGAAGCTCTCAGCAGGAATGCCTGACAGTGAGCTGTAAACACGTGCGTATTACTTCTCGCCAGGTGACACACGTGTGGCGCAACATGACGATCCGCGAGCACCCGGGACTTCGCCCCAGTGGTTGCTTCTACACGGGGACGGTTCGAGGCGACCCCCACTCCACAGTTGCTGTCAGTTTGTGTCACGGCATGGTGAGTACTGGAACCGAAACATTGTTAACGTTTGTGCGTCCTGTTCTTTTATTTAGACTGGATTCTGTCTCCGTCTTCTTTAATCAACCAATCATTTGACATTATATATATAGTCGATTTGCTAACAGAGCCGTTAAACAGCAGATTTCATAACTCACTTATCCTGTTACTGTAGGCTGAGCTAATGACGTCATGGAATAACCCACAGAACGTATAGATAGCTTGTCTTTAATTGTAACATTATGATAAACAGAAATATATAATGATATGTGAAGTTCAGGAAGTAAACATATTGTCCGTAGATGGATTTAACACAGATATTTGTATGAGTTGGAAAAGCATGTGCCTAAACGTACCGGGAATTACATTACGTCCAGTTCAGTGTCGTTGAGTTGTCTAGACAGAACCCCTTGTTTTCACGCCTTGCTTTAAATGTCGGCCATTGGAACAACTGTTGTGAATCGTTTCAAATTATACATGCAGTACTTGGTATGAAAAGCGAACTGAAGCATGAAGCGCTCCATGTCTTCGCGTATCGGAGATAAAGCGGAAAGCGGAATTTCGATGGACGATAATAATCAGAGGTAACCCGGTTTCTGTGCCGTGGGTTTGAACCAGCGCTACACTCTTGGAAGTCGTACATCCCCATAGGTGTGGCGTTTGTATTCTCTCCCGGATGAGTGCTCATAAACGGGGTTTGGGTATCTAATCTGATTAATTGAAGTCTTGCATCTCGTAACTACAAGTAAGGATTATGCGTTCACTGTTCTGCACACTTCACAGATCACTACAGGACACACTAGGTCTTCTCAGTCTGTTACAGTCTGCACTAGCCGTTACTTGGTAGCGGCTTTCACTGGCGGGCGTTCTCCTTCCTCTGGTTTCCCGAACTGTTCCTGACCTCAGGTACCAGTTTCTCACAGCAACAGCTCACAACAGCTGAACCCCAGCTCACGAACCAACTCACTCCACTGACTCCCAGGCTGCCGTATCAAGACCGTCTTCTAAAGTGAAAGTCAGATTCAAAACTGTTTCGTCTTAGCGTCAAGCCCCTTGAGACTCACGACCAAAGATTTTTTTTTTAACTGAACCGTTACGGTCATGGTCCTCATGTAACATTCTCTCTGTCGCTTATGAACAGGCTTGGCTTTTCGTCAAGTGTACGTACCGCAAATATGGCATGTTGCTGAAAATTCTTGCTTCTCCGCTATATACAAGTACGCGGTAGCGTAGTTGGTTGAGGCATTATGCTACAGGCCGGAAGGTCGCGGGTTCGAGTCCCGATGAGGTGGATTTTTTCAATTTACCTAACTCTTCCAGCCACAGTATGGTAGTAGTGCCTCGACCAACTACGCTGCCGCGTGCATACAGAACAGTACATTCTCAAATTTGAGGTTTATTGTGATATTATAAATGCAGACCAGCATATTGAGGTATTCTGTAAGATGTGTTGGCCATTCCATTTATGAAACGTGCGTACGAATACTGAACGACCTCCTTCCCTCTTCCGCGGCTGCGCGTGTTTATGTCTGGGCTTTTAGTGCGTGTTTACTCCACTTTCATCACTAATATAAACTGTACCTCCAAACTCCATTCCTTGACCCCTCATTCAAGAGAGATAAATTTAGTAGGCGATGTACACGAACTTGAAACAACCGGATATTGTGTACGGAGGGTCACTTCCCACGCAGAACTGACTGTACCTGTTGCGCTTGCAGAGAGCTCTTTGTTCGATGGGTGTAAATACAGATACGCCGACAAAGCAAAAAGCAAGTTACCCTTCTAGAAAGCGTAGAACGAGTTCCATTATGGGTGGTGTGGGGCCCCAGAAGTTGGTGCGTTGACTTTTCGTTTTCAGCTTTGCAGGAAAGAAAAAACAAATTTGAGACCGATTTATTTGCAGGGCGATGGCCAGAGCAAAAATAAGCACAAGCTATTTCGATTGCTTTTGCAAGAATTCGGAAAGTAAGGAGAACCATTATTCATACGGGCCAGGGCTGTCCAAACCGTTGAGCACAGCAGAAGGGCGTCTCGGATGGCGTAACACATACAGGGCTGCATCTCTGTTGGGTAACATCAGCGCATGAGCTGAAAGGAAAGTTACAACGGCAAGCATGTGGAATATTGCCCGTGGTTTAGAGACGCAATTACTGCCAGTGCACAGGAGAGTCCGGACTGTCACATTATTTTTACCGATGGGGCGTGGTTTCATGGATCCGGTTGCGTCAACATCCAAAACAACCGCGTCTGCGCAGCCACTAACCCGGCTGAGAGGTTGGTGCTTGGTGTCCCATGTCAACTCGGTACGTCAATGTGAAGCGATTCTTTACCTTTTAATTGCCCGCGGCTGCTTCCAACAGGACGGACGGTGCTACTGCACACACAGCTCGTGTTTCGGTGACGCCACTGCGCTCTGTGTTCGGGGACAGAACAGTTTCAAGGGAGATCTGGCCACCATGGTCGCCGGACTTCACATCTGTGGGGACCAATGAGAGGCGCAGTGCTCACACTCCGCTTTAACTGAAGGAAGCCTCTGCGAGTTTCGCGTGTCTTTGCAAACAAATGGAGACGTGTGGAGGCCATGTCCAACATCAGTTGCATGATAGATGTATCCGTAATAATGTACAGGGACTCTGAACATACTGATCGTATGCGGTAGGCTCACTCTGGAATTTCTTCCGCAAAATGCCGACAGAGGAATGTGTCCGGTAATTAGCGTACAGTTATGGAACCATAGCAATTCCGTGAATTTCTGAGTTATTTATTAGGCAGCGTGTGAGGCCAACTGGAAGATTACGCCAGATGTTTAGTAAGCACTTTTCGTAAAGGGGACATGCAGTAGCGTAGTTGGATGAGGCACTATGCTACAAGATGGAAGGTCGCGGGTTTGATTCCCGCTGAGGTCACTGGATTTTTTTTTTAATTGCCCTAATCCTTCCAACCGCACTATGGCCCTGGGGTCGACTCAGCCTCTATCAGGAACGAGTAACAGGAATTTCCCTGATGGGTAAAGGGGGGCCGGTCGGCGCGTAAGGCCCACAACCTCACCGCTGTCTCTGAGCCGAATAGGGAACCTCGACGTCTCACAACCCTATTGTCCTTCACGGCCTGTTACAGGGATACCTTTACCTTTTACGAAATCGTCTATCATCCGTGGCTGGCACAATAGACCATTTAGTGACTGATGTACCAAGTGGACTCAGTCTCACCCGACCCCACGAAGCAGTAAGCTGAATGCCTGTAGCACGTGTTGAGTGCCCGGTAATTGCAATCCGGACTGCAAAGAGCAGGAACCTCTCGCCTTAAACTAGTACCATTCTTGAGGAATGTAACTTGTGTTACAACAGGATCACTGTGGAACCTAACAAGGGAAGCGACGTGCCGACTCAGTGCGCACGGTGTCAGCGCCATGTCACGTGGCCACGAGTGTACTGGGACACTCGGGGTGCACACCTCACACGATCTAGTGAGTTGGGGTGGGGTGAGACTGAGTCCACTGGGTACGTCGGCCACTAATTTGCCTGTCGTACCAGCCCCAGATTGTAGATGATGAATGTGGAGCAGTTGGTGGAATGAGAATTGGCAGGGGAAACCGAATCACTCGGAGAAAACCTGCCCCAGTGACAGTTTGTCCAGCACAAATTCCACATTACCCGACTTGGGCTCGAAACTGGACCGCCGCGGTGGGAAGCCTGAGCTATGGCACGGCAATGTCGGGATGATACTTAGAACAGGTCACGATCGCTTCCTTTCGAATCCCTTCTAGTTTATGAATGCTCACATTATCCGACGCTGTATAGTGTGGATACTGACAGCGTCAACATGTAACGTGGAGAATTTTGGAAAATGCGGAAGGAAAACCTGTGCTCCTCTCCAAGTGTCATTAGAATGATCAGGTCAAGGAGGATGAGGTGGGAAGGGCATGCAGCACGAATGGGGAAGAGGAATGCATATAGGATATTGGTGGAAGGCTAGAAGGAAAGAGACCACTGGGAAGACCAAGACAATAATGAAAGGGATCTTAGAGAGATATGATGGGATAGTTTGTATTGGATTGATCTGGCTCAGGATGGGGACCAGTGGAGGGCTTTTGTGAACACGGTAATGAACCTTCGGGTTGCATAAATTGCTGGGAAATGCTTGAGTAGCTGCAGAATTGGCGGCTCTTCAAGAAGGGCTCAGCTCCATGAGTAGAAAATAAGCAGCCGTAGTACATTTTATGGCATTTGCTTGGAGAGGTGGCTAGGAATAAATAATGACATAAACCAATGAGGTTAGACGATCCCGGATTGTATTCGAACCAAGTGTGACTGGAGTACATAACCAAATCCGATACCGGAGGTATAACACGTTCGGTAGTTCTGACAACAAAATTCTTTTTGAGTTTTATTGTCATTTTCGAGGCTCGTGCGATGTTGGAAGTTTGCGTTGCGAAACGAGAGAGACCAGCGGCCTTGCCAAGAGCATTGTCGAAGTGCTGCTTTGTAAACATTCATATATTCAACTTAATTGACCATGATAAATGGCCCCTTTGCAGCCCCATTACTGCTCTCGGACACGCGTGTGCTCATTGTCGATACAGAAGCCTGTTTCATTTGCTGCCTCCTTGGATTTTGAAAGGTTTTGTGCTACTGGCGGGCGGAGTCAAGGTTGCTGGGGTTCTTTTGAACTTCCTCGGGCTTGCAGACCCTAACCACACCAAGTTCAAATAACAATACATGTTCTTGAGAAGCTAATAGTTGCCACGCTACTCAGGAATTTCCCTCCACTTGTGGAACCGGAAGATTTATCACCATGTTAACAAGAACCTAAAATTGGTCTCAGTCCTCTGCTACAGACTGAGCCAAAAGTCTGAACGCACCAACCCTAGACGACGAGTATTGTCACACGAACACTTGAACATTGTCCATTGCGTAATAACGGGTAGATCAACGAGCGAGCCATCGCTGGCCAACGGCCTGCGACAGCAGTAGAACTTGGGAACGGTGTTGTCTATGCAG